TATGACAATATTCCATGTTGTTATTGTTGTTTATTTCGTTTGTCATTAGCAGAAAATATGTCCTTTTTGTCATGAGAACCGCTATTTTGGTACAACTTGATAGAATCGTTCAGCGATTCATCTTTTCAATGACCAATATGAAAAATTGATCGCTTGCTAATTTGTCTGATCACCTCTGATTGATCCGATTTTTACGTTAACTGAATGAGACCGTAGTTATAGCCGCTATTCTTGGTTGATTCGTTGTAGCTTTATGTGATTGATGTCTACTAAGATGACAAATCTAGTACAATGAATCGGAATTGAGATCATGAATGTCCTCGGTTCAATCACTGGTTTCTTAAGTATCAATGCAAGTTGAGCACTTCAGGTGATGGAACACCAGGTAGATGTTGTGATGAATTTGAATGTGAAGCGATCAAAAACGACGATATAAAAATGGAAATAAAGCGATGTCCGTACGGTAATAAAACCTATGAGGACGGTGAACAATGGCACACAAGCAGTTGTGAACAATGCAAATGTAAAGGCGGTATTGCGTTCTGCTCAAAAATGACTTGTGCCAATCCACCAAGTGCGTTTCGCGTTATCATTAGATCATTGTTATCACTAAATCATCACTAAATGTCACTAAATCGCCCTCATCGCCTTCATCGCCCTTTATCACCAAATCATCACCATCATTAATATGTGACATTGATAACTGCGATAACTTCTCCACATCGTTTGTTTCCGATCAGTTTGAGCTCATTCCTTTACGGCAGTTCCACATGAATATCGACAGTGCAGTCGGCATGTGACAGCTAAACGTCTAATTATCGTTTATTCCAAACTTGTCTCTTACTTCAAATAAATCACTTCAGCGGAATGAATGTTAATGAACTATTCAACAATAAGCAAAAATATTTCAGCCCATTGCACTTGGGTGGCTATACCAGAAAACGAATGCTGTCCCATATGTTTGGGCTGTCAAACGGATGGTGAGAAACGTAAGAAGAACGAAACGTGGCAGAAAGACGATTGCACAAGGTGAATTGCGTTCATACATATTGCCTCTGACGAGTCCATCAAGGATGCTATGAAATGGTTTAGCGGAATGAGCGATGAAAGATTCCACAGTTCCGATTCCGTACTATGAAGTGTATTGAATTGTCAAAAGTTGTGATAAAAACGCGAT